CCAGTTTTTTCTGCTTGTTTCCCAAGCTCTGCATTTGTGAGGTTGCTAGCTGATCTTTCCCTACTTTCTCAGGAAGAATGAGAAGGCCTCCCCTGTTGCCCCCTCCTGCTTTTGCTTCCTCCAGGTCACCCACTTCTCCAGTTACTTCAGGGCTTTGGTGGTCTCTATCCCCTGGTGAACCTAGTTTAAAGCCCTCCTCGCTAGGTTAGCGAGCCTGTATCTAATAATGTACTCTTATGCTTAAAACTGGCTTTTTAACATGGTTGGGGAGACTTCCAGTGTCATCCAGTTGTTATCTATGTAAAAGATGGCAGTGAAAAAAGTGGTGGGCATATTTTGCTGTTTATTTTCCTGTGTGCAGCCTGCTGCATAATATGATATACTGCTATTCTGCATTAATTGACTGAGCAAATTCTTTCTCAGACCAAACTAAAATTCATAGTTGACCCGTTCTCAATTTGAGAACAGAGTATACTCTCCTCAACTCCACTTTTAATTGATTCCTAGATGAGGAACTTGAAAGTAAGTTGTATTACAGGAAAGTCTCCTAAAATAGTGACTGATATTCTTACTACAAAACTTTAGATTAGCTTTGTTTCAGCCTCAGTTTGAACAGATGACATTGGTCATTATGCACTGCTGTAAATGCAAATGGATTATTTCTAAGTTTTTGCACTGACAGAATGTGGTTGATTGTTTTTCAGAATTGCAGTTATGAGGCACAGCTATGGTTTATTGTTCCTAATGTCACAGTAGTGGATTACAGTGACTCGTTATGCATGTTACAAAAGTCTTCATAAGCTCCAGTGCAGATCAGGACTTGTTCTGGGCTCTGTGTGAATCCATATCATGAATGCTAAAAGCCAGTCACAATATCTATATCTAAAATCAGATACTGCAAGCCCATAATGCTACAAATAAATGAGAGCCTTTGTTTTTTTCCAGACTGTGGAAGTAATCCTCTTATATTCTTTGGAATACCCTTCAAGAAGTTTCTTTGTTGATAGGGAAGTCATGTATAATTTAAACATACAGCAGCACTCAGTTAATGCAGCTGCAAAGAGGCAATACAATTACATTTATTATTTAGGTTTTTGAGAGAGTATTCTTTCTCTCATTGAAAGACACAGGCCTGAAAAAAATCACTGGTAGTCGTAGCTGAAAGAGAGTGTGCCAAAGAGAGGCAATATGAAGGCACTGCAACCTGAGAAATCCCAAGTGTGCTGTTATGCTAAAAACGGTCAGAAGAAAATCAATCAAACACATAAGTAGTGGTTAATACCAGATCCTGCAGGGAATCATTTACTTGTCTATTTAATTAATTAGAAAACCAATCCAGCACAGTAAATCCTCCCCACGCCTTTTGTTTCCAAATGTATCCAAATAAAGGATAGTAACACATGAATACCTGAACAGAACAGCTCTCAGTTTTAAGATCGGTCACCTCAGATAGCTTTTTAGCATGTTTAACTTTATGACTGTTCTCTCTTGTAGGATTTGTTTATCAAAAAAATGGGGGTGAAAGGCTCACCAAGGAACTGGGGACAGTATTTGAAGTCATGGGTTCTCCTTGTACAAGACTTCGCATAAACTAGAGCAGCCAGAGCCAGTGACTGGAGGGGAAAGTCTAATCTAATATTATTTTTCTTTGTGAAACTCTTGGGGTTCCTAGCCAACGATCAAGACACCTTTTGTGCTATGCACAGTATGCACACACATAAACACGCAAATATTTTGTGTCTTAAAGACTTTGTTTATGTTTGATAAACACCATGTGACCAACCAACAGGTCTGGCAGTGGAAGAGAATATGATAAAAGCGAAGTCATCGCTTTGAAGAGTGGGACCAGAGCCTGAGAGGGGCGAGACTAGGACCAGGGCCCAAGTTTGTGAAGGATAAGATGAGGGATGGAACCTGAAAGCCAGGTCTGGTACAGTGGGCTTAGGCTAAGAAGGCTCAGTGAGAGGGAAAAGGGAGGTGGCCATGCAGGCTGAGGCCCCAACAAGGGAAAGTGACTAAACAGTAACACCAGTGAAGATGGGTGTGGCCGTAGGGGAGGATGGAGGCCACGAAATTGGACCATAAGCCAATTAGTGCTCTAATGCACAGATTGGCAGCAAGTGAGAGCTCATTGTGGGAGCCTGGGACGAGCTCCTTTTTTCCAGTTTAAGTAATTACATCAAGATGTGGCAGGCGAAAGGGAAGAGAGGGATACCCAGAGAGTGTCATGGCCATGGCCTAGATTTGCTACATATTCCTATTTGTAACTTTAGCAAATGGTAGTACAGAATTATTGGCTAAAACGTATACAAAGATTGGAAGTAGAAGTAGGTATCAGAACCCGGGGCCCCCTCCAAGAGCAGTGCCCAAGTTGTTTGACCATAGAGTTAGGCTCTCACTTGTTTACTGTTGTTCTGAAGTCTTTCCTTCTTTTCTTATTGCCTAGCCTTGGCAGTAGCTTTGTGGTCAGGGCATTCTGCTGGAATATAAAAGACGTGGTCTTCCCCTGAGTTGAGGGGTACCTAGAATCTGGCCATCTCATGTGCTATGCAAGTTATTTAAGCACTAGATCATTGAAGGAAGCATTTATTTTACACTCAAGCTTGTGCTAAGAGTCTTTGTTGAGAGCTTCCATGGGCAAAATAGGATCACCAGCGTGAGCCCAGTTGCATGAACTTAGCCTTTGCTTGATCTAAGCTGGGGTTGTCAATGGCAAAACAGGACCTGGATTATTGGCTTTATTATCATGATGGATAAAGTTCATTTGAAGTAATTGTATTGGAATGTGGCCTTAATTACTAATCTATACATTCGTTTAATAGAAAAGCAGTATCTGGCATACAGAGGCTGTTTCCATCATATTGAATACCAGCTCCTTTTGAGACCCATCCTATTTTGTATATCTCCTTAAAAGACTTCTTCCAAGAAGGCTGCATATCAAGCTTCTGGGGAACACATGTTGGACCAGTAGCTCTGAACTGTTTTAAGGCATTCATGGTTCACTTGCCTGTGGAGGTGGCCAGCTCCCATAGCCCTTTTTTTACTCTCACACCTTCCTGGCCATTGTAGACATGGGCTTCATGTATCGGAATGATAATACCTAGTTTCTGCAAAGATCAGCAAGGTGCTGACTGCATGTGTGCTCTTTTCCCTAGCATACTTACTAAGAGCTGGGCTGTACTATCGCAGGTTTAACCTCTGAAGTTTTAATTTTGGCGACGGTGATGTAGCAACTTAGTATAAACATAAATTTGAGGCAAACTAAGAAAGTGAAGGAGGAAGTTCCAGGCTGAGTACATCCTACAGAATTCATTTGTGAGCAACTCATTTCCTCTAGAGGCTTCCCAAGAGAAAAGACAGCTGTTGGAACCTTTCATAGCCCATGAAAAAGCAAGTTCAGTCCATCTCCACAACTTTGAGGATCTACAGATGCTAAGTAAAGACATGGTGGTGATCCAGCCTACACGTTTAAAACATCTTCATTTTACCTTTCCTGGACCTGGCAAAAAACACTAAATAAAACTTGATGTTGAAAAGTCTAAAGGAAAAAAATATTTAGAGATGTGTCTCAATGTTGAAGGCCTGCTAAGTGAAGAATCTGCATAATCTTTAAAAGATAGGTATATGATTATGTAGGTTGGAAGATTTATTTGGCCAACCAGATTGCCCTTTTCATCTAAGCTGTTACGTGGCAAATGGGGAAAAAATGGAGCCATGGTAATGACTCTATAATTAAGGCTGTACCTAGCATTTTATTCTAAAATCTGCTTTTAATCTCACTGTCCCCTTTTAACCTCCTCATAAATTTGTGTTCCAATTTCTCAATTAAGGTTTCTATCCAGAGAAGGGTTGCTTTTTTGCCAAAGTTTTAATTAGACAAGATATCTGGAACATATGGCAAGTTGGAAGAAATGAGGCTTTTTATTTTTTGGAAATGTCTGACTTATGTCTTATCTTAACCATGTCCTTTTTAAGACACTGCTTTGGATTTATGCAATTGTTCTCAATGACTGCATATATTCTTAGCAGCTTTAGAGAAGTTTGCTCAGTTAACTTGGAAGACTTACTATGACACTTGAAATTACAAACATTTTGTCAGATCCAGGAAAAATTTTTTCATAGATTCATAGATTAAGGGTCGGAAGGGACCTAGTAGATCTTCTAGCCTGACCCCCCGCCAGGGCGGGAGAACAGCAAAGAAACCCCAAAAAGAGAAACGGGACTCAAATGAGTCCAGCCAGGTAGGCATCCAGCCTCTTCTTAAAGTCATTAGTCATTCTTAAAAGTCTTTGGTCATTTTACTTAGTTTTCAAAATGTCAGCCTTCTTTTGAAACCAGTAAGGTCAATCTGTTTTTCAGATATAAACATGTAAAGTTAGGTCCCTAAATCCATATACAAGCAGTTGACTTGGTAGTTATACCTTTTCTCTAACGAGGCAGGACAGGGTGGTACCCTGCCCTTCTTTCTGCCTGACTTCAGACAACGCAGCTAACTACCTTGGTCAACTTCTCTGTAAGGAAGAGGCTGCTGGCCTCCTCGTTTTGGTGGGGAAAACAGAAGGAGAAAGATGGTGGTAAACCAGGCAAAGGGATACCATAGGCATTTCCAATCCACTGTGGATGAAAAATGCAAATATTATTGTACTTTGTGCTAACAGCACAGACCAGAAACTCCCTTTTGCGAGCATTTTTTACTGGTATTGCTTTTGATGCCATTAATAGAGTCATTCTCCATGGTCGTTACTAATGGTAACACTAGCTAGTGTTGAGAGTCAGCATACAAGCACCTGAAAGCCCTGCTGTGGGGAGTCTTGGAAATGGCTGATGAAACCTCACAGGTGACTTCAGCTGGTTTGGGAAACGATAGGGCTAGACCAGGCAGGAATCAGTATGCTATAAACTATTATTTGAATGACTTGTATTCTCACATTGACAATTTGCCATGTGCAAGAACCCTTTTCTCATGTGTGTTTTTGTTTGTTTTTTAATTCTCTTTATAGAACTTGGATGCTCTGCATGACCATCTTGCCACTATTTACCCAGGTATGCGAGCCCCTTCCTTCAGGTGCACTGATGCAGAAAAAGGGAAAGGACTTATTCTGCATTATTATTCGGAGAGAGAAGGACTCCAGGATATCGTCATTGGGATCATCAAAACAGTAGCTCAGCAGATCCATGGTACAGAAATAGATATGAAGGTAAAATTTAATGGCTTATGCAGATTGAAAGTTAGCGTCTTTCATATTATTTGAAAGAGCTGTAAGGTATACTACAAGACAGTATTTCTTTATTCTGTCATCCTCTCCACAAAACTTATTCTGTCAGTGTTCTCAAAAAGCTCTCCAGGTCCACCTAACTCTCTGTTAACCCAAAGGCCTTGTGCTGTAATCACCAGCTTTTCCTTGGTCATACACGTATGATGGCTGCACAAAAAGGAAAGGGCATAAAAGCTCGCATCTTACACTAGTAGGCTAGCTGTATGGGACAATTTTCAGGCTGCTTTATGCCACTACAAAATGGCCATAATGCACCACAGGTCTGGGTCAAGAAGTGAACAACATTATCATGTCCCACTGAAACTGGATAGTAGATTTTAAATTCGTCACAGTGTAATTTAGTCAAGATATATGGGGAAATGCACCTTTTTGTATAAGGTGTCATGAAATCTTTAATTAAAATAAGTGATTAGGAACATTTATTTACTTTTTTTGCTTCTCTGATAGATTGCAACTATAAGAGCACAGTTCCTCCTTCTGACTACTATGGATTACTGGTCTAGTACTAATGAAAGAAATGTATATTGCTTTAAACTCAAAAATAATACTTTGTTCTACTTTGAATCTAACTCAGGAGTGTGAAAAAATATAGCCTGTGGGCTGCATTTGGCTCACCAACGGATTCTGTCCAGCCTGCGTTGCCCTACCTGGCCCAGGCACAGGGGGCAGCCTGGGCCATGGCATATGTGGCCGATCCCACCACCCCTAGACACATGACTTGGCTTCTCAGCAGCCCCCCGAGCAGCAGCTTGATCTGCCCAGCTGCTGCTGCCAGTCGACCCTGAACCCACTGCTGGGGAGCACTATGTGGATGGGTAGGCGGGGTTTCTGTGAAGACCAGCCCAGGAACCTTGTGGGCAGGGTGTGCTTGGCCGGGCAGATGGAATGGGGCTGTGGGCAGTCAGGGAGTGGGACAGGTGGGTAGGTCTGGGATCTCAGGGCAGTGACAGTATGGGGCCAGAGCCCAGGGCAGCACTGCAATCTGCTCCCCACAGATCCCTGTGACAACTGCCGGTTCCACAGACAGGGACTTGTAGAAAGTGGATTGTGGCTCTGCTCTGGGCCCTGGCTCTGTACTGTCGCTGCTCCATGATCCTGGATGCTGCTTCCCGCCCACCCGTGGCCCCATTCCATCCACCTGGCTGAGCGCACCACCTGCCTGCTCCATTTGGTGCCCCCAGTGGTAGGTGTGGGGCAAACAGGCCTGGGGCTGAATAGGATTAGTTGCCCTTTTACCCCTCCCTGCTCCCACTAAGCCAGGCGAGCCTGGGTGAGCACCCCATCACCCCCAGCGTGGAACAACTCACACTAACTTCTTAAGTGGCTAAATATAATTGCCTACCCCGACCTAGTTAAAGCTTGAAAGCAAGGGAGATCTGAAGGATACTGTACTTGCAGTGTAACATTTAACTATGAATGTAAATCACTACTTCAAAAACACATTTGTGTGTTTGTTTACTTAGTTAATCATCTCATATTTAGGGATTGTACAACAAAAAAATTACATGGCTTAAATGATGTATTTTGGGAGACTGGATGACTAAGAGTTTGGTAATGAGACACTTAACTTTTGTATTTTCAGGTTTCTTCTTAGAATTCAGGTCAAATTTGTGCCTGAAAGTTGGTGATGCCTCAATATGTTTAGATTCTACCTGTTTGGTGTTCATACTGCAAAACCACCAACATAGTAGGGCTGTGTGAAACAGCACCATTTCATTTCAGCTTTTGCTTCTATGGGACAGTGTTTGTTTCAAGTTTTGTTTAGTTTCAAAAGCACTGTTCCACTTTGTTTTGTCGAGACTGTTCCACTGTTTCAACGCTGTTTTTATGTTTCACCCACAGGATAGAATGGGGAAGCACAAAACTGCCTATAACTTTGTCATTTCTTGCCTGATTTGGATGAAACATGCAGGCATGGTGGCCCCTGCTGAGGCCATGAAGCCTGGTAGCTTTCAAGGAGATAGGTGCAGAGGTTTCTTGGAAACTGCACTTCAAATTGGTCAGAGCAAAACTCGTGATGTGTGATTGTGTGCGTGTGTGTATGTTTTCTGTCCTTCCCCCGGAGCCCTGGGATTGGAGTGGACCTTGGGGAAGGATCACAGTTGCTGACCAGCTACACAGTCAATATGAGAGCAGTCCTTCCCCCCTCTTCCCACCTCCCTCTCCTTTACTTTCTGGTTCCCTGCAGGCAACCCCAGCTTGAACATCAAAACTCAAAACATTTTGACTGCCCTTGTTTCGTTTCAAGGCTGTTTCAAAGCCCTTTATTTCATTTTGATTTTGCTGTTTCGAGGTTGAAACAGCCGGTGAAATTTTGCACAGCCCTACAATACAGTAGTCATGACTTTGCTTATAGGCACAGACTGAATGGGTGTCAAAATAACTCTCTTGACAGTGGTTCATCCAGCCCTGTAGATTGGCAAGGGTAGGGTTGCTGTTTAGATTCTGCTGAAATCAGTCTAGTACTTTTTATGCACATTAAATGCATTAAGGATAATTAAATATTGATTATCAATATACTTTTCACTTCAGTGTCATCTCCATGGTCTTTTCTAGAGTTTTTCATTACTATATTGCCATTAAAGAGAAACTTAACATCAATCTAAGGTACTGTAACTGAGCAGAGATTAATTTAACACAGATGTGGTTTATGAGCCAGAGGCATAGCATCCCCTTAAATGTAACTGGCACATCTGTACTGCTGTGCTCTGTATAGTACCCATTGCTTACATTATGTTTTACAAGTTACATTAATTACATTTCTGTGTGATGTTTTGCTAATGGAACATAATCCGTAATTACCACAAATATTAAGTCCTACTCAAAGGTTGTCTTGTGCAGTTTATCCTGAAATAAACATTTCTGTACCACTGTTAGCTAAGAAGGGCTATGCTCTGTGACCCTTAATTGCATTAAATATCACTGTTTCCCAAATGCTGTCAATGACTTCAGTGGCATTTTTCATGGAATAAGATACTACTTAGTCTGTGTATAGGGTTAAAATCTGCCCATTAGCATTACAGTCACAGCTTTATTAATGCAAAAACCAGTAATTTTCTCTTCATGCTGAGGTCAGACATTAATAAAAACTGTTCTCAGAATGAGCAGTTTAAAGCTAGACAAAGTGGCTGGTCTGCTATTGGGGGACGTAAAATACTCAGAAAAGCAGGATCTGAAAAAATGTTAAGAGATGATTTTCTTTCATTCTAATTCTGTGAACCTTGTATTCTGGTTTATTTAGCATTTTAGTGCTTCCATCTTCCAGATTTTTGAGTAACATTTTTAAGAAATTCATAATATGTTCCCCCATGTTCCACATTACTGGTTCTCAACCCTTTGAGACTCAAGCCATCTGCTATAACGCTTCTGAATTTAGCAGCACCCTCTGGATTCTGGGCAGAGGGAGCTCCTCATTTTCCATGTGCAGGGAAGATATATTCTGTGCACCTTTGCCTCTGTACGAAGCTTGAGGATACCCCTCGTCCCCAAGAAGTGCAGTGGCTGGATTAGCACTTATTATATCTTGTCCATGGTGGTGGCATTGCTGGAGTGGGCTCTCAGGCAGGCTAGCAGCAACAGCCCTGTGGCAGCTCCTCTTGTCAAGCTGGGCCATAGTGGGGCACCCCCTTCCTGCTGCAGATGCTTCTTGGTACTGCATCACACAGTATCTCCCAGAAACAGAGATACAACATCCATAAAGGGATGTCATGGCACCCTAGTTAAAAATCTGTGCTCTAGAAACAAATCAAAATAGGAAAAACACTAGAGACCATCATCCACTGTTCTTCACGCACCCAACAGTCCCTACTCCAACATACCTTTTCCCTTCTCCACATATTCTTCAACCCACTCCATTTTCAAAAGCTTTGAGAATTCACTTTGCTCTGAGGGTCAATGCAATTTGGATCTGTTGGACCTAAAATAGGCAGGAGCCATAGTGTTTAGGGCTTTATAGGTTAAAAGTGATACCTTGAAACAAATAGGAATTGGTATACGTTTTATGAACAAATGTAATGTGGCCATTTTAGAAGCACTGCAAAAGCAAATAAGTGTTTGGATTATGCAATAGCTGAGGCTTCCAGGTGTAGCCTAGATTAAGTGTATTATAGTGATTCAATTTTGAGGTAATAAATACTGTATTGGTCGGATTGTAAGTCTAGCACTTTTTCTTCCAGAAGAACCACAACATAGCACTTGACTTACATGCAGGGTTGACCTGTAATTGGTTCCTCTATACTCCTGACTTTTGTACTTGCAGCATATTTATGTCTGCAATAAAAATACTAAGTCTGACTTTCAGTGCAGTTCTCATTTTAGTATTGTCAGTGCATTTAACCCTTTGGGTCATTTCCTTATTTATTTGATTCTCTGATTTTGTAAGGACACTAGCATTCCGAGGTCTCTATCTGTTTATCAACTTATAGTTGGGGGGGGGGGGGAACAGTTTTTTTCCTTAAATTGAACATCAAAATGTGGGGTTGAATTATATGCAGGGTCAACTTTATAATAAGAACAATACATGAATAGTTGTACTGAATTGCATGCACAAGTATCGGATGTACAGACACATCCAGTATTATCTAAAATGAAACTCGGGCACTGTCTCTGAAAAACCCCAGGCTCTGCCATGTGTTGCATAAGTTAGTTACACTGTCCTGGTCATATGAAATGAAAGTGTTGAGTAGGACTCCACCATAACCTGAGTCCACTACAGCATGGCTGCTCACAGACTTGTTATAGATGGAACTGGAGAGTCCGAATCCTGCCTAAGAGCTCGGACGGAAGATGAGCAATTGCCCACTACTGCTCTGTACTTTCTCAAAAGAAAGAACCAGAACTACTCAAAAGTAACTTCTGTTTACTGAAGTGTCATCAAAACCACCTGGTTAGTGGAACTGCGTGCAACTAATAGATCTAATAAT